AGGGATCAAAACGAAACAACAAAGGGGAGGATTCAAGGGAATACACACACGCCTATATTATAGCTCTTTATATACTACAGACTCTTGTCGTTGCTGGGGACAAATTCCTTTCTTCTGGGTCCCCGTGGGCGCTTCTGACAAATGCAGGAAACCGACAAGAGCGCTACCGTCGCATACAACGCCGTTGATGTAAGCATAGGGGAGGCTGAGGAGACCTCATTGACAAGGGGGCCCGCAGCAGCTTCCGCTCTAACTCGGGGTAAGGCGACGAATTCGCCACGCGGCGCCCCACGGAAAGGAGGAAGTGGAGACAAACGCGGCGCCAAGGACTGTGCAGGCATGGAGGGGGAGCGGTTGCATGATGTGTCTGTTGCAACGCAGGAGACCAACACCTGTGGGAGTCCCAAAAGGATTGGAGGACCTGCGAAACCCCATCAGCGGCGGGGTATTTCACCCGCTGTTCCATATCCGGCAGGTCGTCCGCGTCCAGACATGTTGTCTGGCACCGCCAGTTATTGGAGCACAATTGAGAATGATCGCACCATTGGGGTTGGGACGGTTGGTCTTTTTCAGGGCCAGCAGAATGATGAAGTTTTGCCTGAAAGGGCGTCAGCGCGCATCAACGGCACCGTCGTGGTGGGCCCCCCAGCGTACGTGCGGAAGATGAGAGACTACTTGAATTGGAGAGAGAAGCACAGCACCCTTTTTTCCGCCATAAAAGTTCAAGATGGGAAGGAGTGGAGAGCTGCTCGACTGCGCCAGCTCCGCGCGAAAGCGAGACGACAAAAGGAAGAAGAGTACGAATATGCTTTAGCCATCAAGCGGCTGCGTCAGCGTGGGTGGTCAGTGTTGGCTAACGTTCCACGCGAAAACATGCGGCTCAAGCAAATTAAGGCCGAGCGTGACGCCTTTCGCGCGGAGTGTGAGAATAATATGTTGCACAAGATTAGGGAGGCCTCACAGCAACGTGAAGTAATCCTGCAGCAGCTTGCCATGTCCAAGGACGAGAGGATGCGTGAGGCGAATCTCGTGCGGGATGCCGCAAGGCTTGAACGTGAGATGATGATCGCCAGGCGAGAGGTCCACTCAGCCCATGTCAAGGAACGGGCTTCTAACACGCGGGCAGAACGTGAGGTGGAGCGTGAGTATTTTCGCGAGTGTGCCGCCATGGAAGATACGTGCCGACAGAGCCAACTGAGCGCGTTGCGAGAACGCGTCTTTGCGAAAACGTGCCCAAGCGGCTTTGCCTCAACCTTCTCAAGTGACGTGCGTGGGGCTGGTCATCAGTACCCACCAGGGGACTGGCACAATACCTTTAACAGCCCACTACGTAGACTGCCCAACGCGAGCGACGACAACTTTCGAAGACAATGGATGGCGGAGCTTGAGGAAGAGCGGATGGGGTTGGCACGGGCGGAGGTGGAGATGGTGCGGGCCGGACGTTTGAATGCCTCAATTCAGCGAGACTTCTCATACCGCAGCAACTGTGAACGTGCCAAGGCTCTTCGCCACGAGCGGGAGGCCCTGCGGGAGAGGAAACAGCAGCTGGATGAGGAGGTGGAACGTTTTCAGGAGGTGTTACATCAGCAGGAAGTTGAGGGTCGGAAACGACGCGAAGACGTTATTCATTCCCTGCGCGAGTCGAAACGGTTGCATGCTTCGCGCCTACGTCGGGCCATAGAAGAGGAGGAACTGATGGCGCAGACGGCCTGTGCTGAGGACCTGCATCGACTACAGGAACACGCGGCGGAGCTGAGGAAAAGCATGACTCCCTCCCCACGACTTGCTCGGCCGCCACCGGCCCCCTTAGGGGAGGAGAAGCCGGTGGATGCTTGAGGAGTCGGAAAGGAAGGAATACACAATATCGTCCCGGCAGGCGTCTGTCCGATTGAAATTCATTCTTTATGCTGCAATCATTGATGGCTTATTTTCTGTCTTCTTGAACCCTCCTCCCCCATCCACATTGTTTTTTTTTTTTCTATTTTTTCTATTTTATTTTGTTTTGGTTTTTTATTTAATGTTTGTACCCCCTTTTTTTTCCTCTGCGTAGTCGTGTAAGTTTACAGTGAAGAGTCTCACACCGGCACTACCACTCTTTGTGTGGGCTACACAGAGGAAATTAGTTACATCTATGTATGTATCCTTATGTAGATGTATGCATGCATATATGTATACGGGCTCATGCATGCTCTGAATCTGTCTGAAGCAAATCAGACAAAGTGGGACACAGTTTTTTTTTTTTGCTCTGCGTTTATTTCCTAACTTCATCAACTTTTTGGTTGTTGCTTATGAAGAATGACAAGAAGCAGGAATGTGGAGGGAAATGAGCGATACTTTGGCCCTTTTTCTTTTTGTGTTTGTTCGCTTTGCCGATTTAACGAAAAGAAAAAAATATATATATTTATATATATTTATATATATTTATA